GAAAGGAGAATTCTACTTAGTGAGGGTTATAATCACTAAGTGCGGCCGAAGGCCGCCTACGCAGAAAGGTGTTCTCTGCAAAAGGTGTTCAGCCTCACTTCTTCAGCAACACAGAAAGGAGAATTCTACTTAGTGAGGGTTATAATCACTAAGTGCGGCCGAAGGCCGCCTACGCAGAAAGAAGTTCTGGGCAAAAGAAACTATGATATCACCCACACTTGTCACTTTTGCTTGTAAATGCTTTTAATTTTTTTTATCACTAAATTCTTAAACCTCAAAAGTAGATCATAATGAAATATGCATATCAAATTAAAGGTAAGAACTTGCACTTTCTAAATAATATATATGTCTTTAGCATTGATTATGCACTTTTTTCTAAAAAGGTTATTTTATGGAAAATTATAACATTTTATTTGTTTTTTAATATTTTTGGCTTAAATATATAAGCAAGCAAACGCATTTTATATATGAACTTAAAGATGGATTAATTGCCTTTATTTTGATATCATTACTTTTTTAATCGGTTACGTAGTTTATAAAATATAATTATTTTAAAATATCACAAAAATTTTCTTTAACCTTTTATATCTTCTTTACTTTTTAATCGCGGCAAATAATATTTATATAGTTGAAATCAGCGTAAAAAGTACTATCGGTCTGCATTTTTAGTTTTTCTATAGCTGAACGGTTGGTTATCTTGATGTGTTCCTTAACTTGTTGTTCAATTAGCACTGTACGTAATTGTAGTTAATGAACTTTACTTTAGAACCAACTACATATTCATTCATATAGTCTCATTACGTTTAGTCTGTACTAGTCCCCGACTAGCAAGGTTTACAAGATTCCGATGATATTAATGAAGATATAGTAAATGTGTGCATGGGAACGACTTTTGATTAAATCCTGTAAACAGGGATCAGGGGGTTATTAATCACTGGGTTTACCTTGCGACGTCAGCTCTTTCGACCAACGTATCCTTCTCATCCTTTTTTATCTCTAGATTGTTAACCTAAAAACGATTTATTAGACATGATTTCTTTAATACAGAACTGTCATACCAATCTAGATATTTCTTGATCCTCTGCTTTCTGTGCCCAATCCGACATTTTTTAATCTATACGAATTTCCAAATTATTCTCAAGTTCAGCGTGCCGTTATTACTGATCGACTAGTCCCAATTCCAAACAATTTATATTAGAGATTGCAGTATTAATCGAAAGAAAAATTTAAATCGAATTGTTTACACCGATGTTACACAATCAACTGGCCACTTTCAAGCTTGCACCACAAGAATGATAGAATACAAGATTGCCCGGCAAGCCGAATTTATACAAGGTAGTAGCGGCAGGAAATCTTTAGTTATTTTCCGGTTGTTTTTGGGGTGGGGACGGAGGGGAAGGGGCGTGGCCCCCTAAACCCCCCTCATTTGAAAGGGGACAGGCGCCACTTGACGAAAAGTCGAACCCCCCCCTTCGGGACCGCCACAGACCCCTAGGGAACCGTTAGAAAATGGGCGAAAAACGACATTTACCGAGGGCAATTGAGCTGTTTGAAGTGGAATATAAACCAACTAACAGATTCTGGGGGTTTTTAAATAAAAGAAATTATCCGACGGTGGTTATCAGGCGAAAGAATGGGGACTGAACACCTTCCTTTTTTGCGAAGAAAAGGAGCTGAACGTCTTTTGTAGAGAAAACCTTTCTGGGTAGGCGGCCTTCGGCCGCACTTAACGATTATAACCCTTACAAAGTAGAATTCTCTTTCTGTTTTGCGAAGAAAAGGAGGTGAACACCTTTTGCAGAGAACACCTTTCTTCGTAGGCGGCCTTTGGCCGCACTTAGGTATTATAACCCTCACAAAGTAGAATTCTCTTTCTGTTTTGCGAAGAAAAGGAGCTGAACACCTTTTGCAGAGAAAACCTTTCTGCGTAGGCGGGCTTCGGCCGCACTTAGGGATTATAACCCTCGCAAAGGCTGCATTTCTTTATTCATTCTGAACGTTTAGAATAAACTTTTTTGTTTATTTATTCTTTAGAACGTTCCTGATGAAATGCTGTATGTATTTCAAACGCATTCTGTTTATTCCGGCTGTGAAATGGGATTATCCGGAATATATAAAGAAACGCAGCCAAAATATAATTATCTTTCTGTTTTGCGAAGAAAAGGAGCTGAACACCTTTTGCAGAGAACACCTTTGTATATTTTTAATGCTTACTGGGTTATATCCTATCTTCTTTTGTCTCTCATTCTTTTGCATATTTTGGAGTTTGACAGCTGAACTCGTCCATTTAATTTGCATATGCAACCAAAGTCAGACGCGTGATTTTGAAGGTGTTTTTATTTAGGTCGGTGTTATGCAGACAAACTTTTGTTTGCCAAATTAAATGGCGGCTGCTTAGTTTGCTGGGAGGTGGTTATGTCGAGTTTGGCACAGGGTTGCACGTTCATTATGGTTTTCATGGCTATTGCCTACACGATGTATGTACATAACGCGCACAATTTAAAATTTTTGTATATGACAACACCGAATTTGCTGCAGTTTGACCATACAAAATTAGTTTGCAGTGAGAGTCGCCAAACTCGCTCTCTCCGAGTTTGCTACAACAACAATTGCACGCAGTTTGCCAAACAAAATTTCTGCATAACACCAACCTTAATGAATAGTGATTAATTGGTTAATATTAAAGTCATAAAGAAAGTTATAACTAATCGAGCAAAGTGTAAACTGAAGGTTAATATAAAAATATATTTGTGAAGTGGCTGCTTTAAGGAGAATATGAGTGATAAATGTACGCTAATTTCCGAATTTTACAAAAAAGGGCATATTTCAAACCCAATTTGCACATAAATTAGTGGCCAAAAATTACAATATTGGATGTTAAAATAATGTGTAGACCCTACCCCAATACTCGAAATAGTTAGGCAACGTACTAAAGAGTACCCGTAGCGGCAGCTCAAAATCAAAAACTACACAAACAATTATACAAACATTGGCAATCAGTACAAAACAAAATTATAACAAATTTTGACAAACGGTACAAATTTGCCTTGAAATCAGCTGATCCGGTAACACCACCTTAAATGAATTCGCCTTGATAAGCAGGCCTGTTATAAATTCCGTCGGAATCCCCGACGTGCCAACGACGGGAAAATGCTATTATCACATACTGGCCGTCTCCACAGATTCAAACT